GCCCTTTCCCCAGTGCCCCGGCCACCCCTGCGGGTGAGCCTGCCTGCTCAGCCAGCTGCGCTGTCCCTGGGGTCGGGCTCAGGCCATCGGTGTCCCTCCTCCCACCCCCATTTTTCCTCCTTAGGGGAGGTCATCCCGGTCCAGCCAGTCTCCCAGGTGCCATCTCTTTTTGAATGGCTCCTGCTTCGGCAAAGTGAGACTCTGCTGCTTCTCTGTCTGCATGGCCCCCTGAGGTTCAGGGGTGCTGCCCTGGGCCAGTGGGGTGTCTCCAGCTTCTGGGAGCCCCCTGTGCCGGCTGGCCCAGGAGGCTGGCTGCCTGAGTCTGCTTTCAGCAGACACGGAGAGGGAAGCAGTGCCGTCGGCCCTCTGCTGATGCCTGTGGGGCCTCGAGCCAGACTGGGCAGTGGGGCTTCCTGAACTCCCAGCTTCCAAGTCTTCATCTTGGGGCCACCAAGAGCAGCCAGCCGGGAGGCCCCACCAGGACACACCACATCTGCAGGGGCCATGGCCGTGAGGAGCCTGCTCTGCGTGGCGCCCAGCAGGGCAGAGGGGAGGGCCCTGGCAGCCGCCCTGCCCGCTGGCCTCAGTGGCCCTGTGAAGCCGGCTGTGGGTACTGTCCCCATGGCTGAGTCCGGGCCTCCCATTCACTGGCTGGGCTCACCTAGGTGGCAGAGGCCAGGGCGCAGCCTGGAGCTGCAGACCCCGGGGCTGTCCCCCCCAGCAGCAGGGCCATCTCTGTGGACACCGTCCTGCTTCATGGCCTTCTCAGGACTTCAGCTCCTCTTACTCCACGGGCAAGTGGCGCTGCCCAGGGTCTTCTGCTGCGTAGACCAGCCATGATGGCTTTCTGGGACACGCATGATGGCTCCAGGATGCTCGAACTGAGCAGCGAGCAGGAGACCAGGCTGCAGTGTTGAAAGCAGACCCTCCAGCAGACGTCAGCACCAATGCCAGGGGGAAGGTGTGCCTCGACCCACCCCAATTCTGTCTACAAACCGCCAGCCTCCGTCCAGCCACTCGGGCGACTCTGAAGCCCTGAGTGTCTTTGGGGTGCTATAAGAGTCTCGGGGGAGGCTCTGGACATGCCACTAGTGTCTCAAGCTGGGCAGGGAAGCACCATGAAGACAGGTGGCCTTACACCCGGGAGTGAGGGTCAGAGCCCACCCACCTACACTGGGATCCGGGTCTGTACTGCAGCCACCTTGAGACCCCTCAAGCCCCCTCTTGAGACCCCCACCCCTCAAGTCCACACACCTGATTGAGAGGCAAGGGGCTCTAGTGCCCATGAGATCACCGGGTGAGCTTTTGAGAAGAGGCCCGAGCCC